TATTTATTTAGATTATTTTTTATTATTGTGATGAATGATTCATAATTTATATGTATGTTTTTGTTGTTACTTAAGACTATTTCCCAATTTTCCGATTGTAATGATTTTTTGAAGCTTTCAACGTTACTTTTTGTGAATAATCTTTTCTCGATGTGCCAAATTTCATTATTGTTTGGCGAATATTCGCAGTTTAATTTAACATTTATTGCCTTATGATCCGATAGCCCATAGTCTTTTACAGTAGCTGTATTTATGAGCGGTGGGTAGTTAGTAAAAAGTAAATCGATGCAAGTCGATGATGTTTTAGTCACCCGTGTTGGTTCGCGAATAATTTGTTCCAAGTTATATGCTTTCATAAAATTTATGAACTCATGGGTCTGTTTATTTTTATGACCTACATTTATGTTAAAATCACCTCCTATGATTAAGTGTTTGTGTGACTTTTTAGTAGTTAGTTTATGTAAAACTTTACCCAACTGTTGATAAAATAAATCAATATGACGATCTGCCCTATAAAGTCCTATAACAGTACAATTTAGTTTAGGTACGTCAATAGCACTAAATTCTATAAAATATTCCTTTGAATGATTTACAATATCTATGCGTTCTATAAAGTCTACTGAGTCTTTTACAATAATACAGGTTCCTCCGCCTTCGCGGGTTGTACGACAAAAAATCGAGGCTATTTTATATCCCTGAGGTAATATTGATTGGCAATAGTTTTCACTTTTCCACAGCTCGGATAAGGAAATTAAATCAATTTCAGAATCGAAAAGTAATTGTTCTACTGAATCTACTTTGTTACCGATGCTTTGAATATTTTGGAAAATTAATGTAAACTTATTCAAGGGAGCGATTTTGTTCCTTGATATTTTTGTCTGTTTACGACACACTTTGATGTTGGAGAAAAAACTGTGAGTCACCCAGCTCATCAAATACCGAAGTCTTTGAATGACCTTCTTGTTCGAGTTCGGGGATGGTAGTTGTCATCGAGTTTACAGCGATTATATCTTCCATTTGTCGTTTTATATCGTCGAATATAGTGCGCATTCCATTATTATTTAGTCGTCCTGTCCAATAATTAAACATTCTATTGTCATACTTAAGATGTAGGTTTGAGTCCAGTAGGTATGCATGTAGGTGAGTCATTATATCCAGGTACAGTAAATCGGCAAAGTTTTGTACTCGCCAGTTGAACAGATTTGAACTATTATTCAATTTAAAAGTAGGTAGGCATAGGATAAGATTTGTATTTTCAATTTGTTTCAAAGTATTTCGTATGTCATAGATTATGTTAAAGTAGTCATTTGTTACATTAAAGTCTTCCTCACCAATTAATATTATACAAAAGTCATCCTTAGTATAGTCTTTTAGCTTACTGTTTATTCCTTTGAGTAGTTGTTGGGTTCCACAGTTTGGTTGTAAGTAGTGACATATATTATAATGTCTAAACGTTGTTTTTGCAATTGATAATATTTTGTTAGTTTTGTTGGTACTTATGATACAAATTTTGTTTTGTTTCTTTTGACCGTCTAGCAATGTATTTACCTCTAGTTGATCTTTGCTGTTTTCATCTACATGTTTATTTATAGTTTTTTTATATTTTGAAGAGTTCTTTGGTGTATTCCGCGGACAGTTGTTCTGTTCAAGTAATTCCTGATTAATTCGTTTAAGATTGGTATTCTCTAGAGATAATGATTCTATTTTATTGTGAGCGTTATTTAATTCTGTCGTCAATAGTTCAATTTTTTTTTTTAGTTGAATAGTTATGTTGTCTTCGTCATCTGAAGAAGTGTCCGGTAAACTTATTGTGCTGCCATCTATTGGTGATTCTGCTGATGTTATACTTTCATTGTCTTTAGTTGAAGTATTTGAGCTGGACTTAGTCCGGTTGCGACGAAAGGTGATATTGTCTAAGAAATTCATTTTTGAAATCTTTTATATTCCAAAAAGTAGTCGCAGTTAGCGGGGTTCGAACCCGATCTACGAGATTAATTCTATACTGTTTATAACTAAGCCACTCGAACGTTACTTAAGCGTGTTGAAACTGTTTACTGGTTTCTTCTTCGTAGTTTTATTTACTCGTACCCACGATATTATTTATGATTATAGAAATAGAAAATACTTTAATAATGTTCTTCGATAAAGATAGTAGATGTTTTAACACTATCGTAAGTCACATTTCGCTTGTAAGTTTGGCTGTAATTATTGAGTGATTTTTAAAGGCGTTTTGAACAGTTTTGTTTTGATTATTTGTATCACATCACATTCACCAAAAGTGTCACCAGTTTAATTTCCGAGGCAGTTTCATTTAATCGCGTCACAATTTAATCACAGCACTGTCACTAAAGCTTTAGATGTTCAAGCACATTTCTATGTAGGATATTGTATAAACAGTGAATTATTTATATTTTTAAAATATTATTAAACACGGACTCGAAGTGATCGTGGTAGTCCGAGCCTACCCTCTCATTTCTTTTCTCAATACCAAGCATAAAGATGAAATTGCTTAGAAATATTAAGTTTTGCATCTGTTATTTCCAAGAGCTAAAAGTTATACTGTCGCATCTAACATTAGAGAAACTGATACGAATATCCACTTGACTTTACACTTAGTAGTTAGCAAATGTGAGTTTCATCAGTGCAAGATCACTTCCAACGGCATTTACCGAGTCTATACTAGTTACTCTAATCTCTAAACATTTTTATTAGATTTTCAATTTTGTATCAAAACAATTAAGTTGAAAATAGAATAAAGGAGTTAGTGTAGGTTGACCTGCTAGCGTCTACACATTTAGCCTTGCAGTAAGTACTGCAATAACAATCTACATTATATCGTTTTAGTTGTCATCCTTTGGAGTGTCTTGTAAGAAATTATCATAATGTGCTATTTCTGTTCTGAACTCTGTGGCTCTGGAGATATTGTCCTTGACTTGTTCGACAATCAGCGTCATGCAGTTATGTTCCTGTTATTATCTTGTTAGTAAACTGTGATGACGTTAGAGTCCTGTCTGGGTTGCGGCATTTGTGTGTGTGGGTAAGTGAATAGAGAGGGGTGAAATTGTATACAATTCATTGACAACAAAATGTAATATTATTTTTGTGTCTACTTGGTGTCATTTGGAGTTTTCGCAAACTTATTAGGCGAAAAACGTTCATAAGTAATAAAATTAATTACATTCACTGGGGTAGGAAAACATTTAAAATATTTCAACATATAAAAATCCTCTGTCGAAAGTAGACTACAAAAAAGTATCAATGCACTTGTTTATAGTTATAAATGTGAACAAACCTCTTACGAAAAATACTTTTCTAAACGTCAAACACAATACGCTAATGTCAAAGTCACAGAACTGAATGGCGTGCTATCGTTTGCATACAAAATATAAAACGTTGAAAAAAAGCGTGCGTTTGCGGTTGGCGTTCGCACGCGCGTCGGCGACTAGCCCGCGTTTCCCCCTCTCTACGGGTACGGGCAAGTTGGACCGAACCGCGCCGCTCGATACACGCCACGGGCGTCAACGCTACGGTAACCAAGCTGCGTTTATAAGACAATATTGTTTCTATTCACACATAAAAGTGTGCATTAAAACTAGTAAGTATTTATCTTTATTTGTTTATTAGGTACTTTAAATACGGACTAATTTGTACGAATTTTATACTGCTTTAGTTAATGAAATAATGTTGCTCAATATGTATTTTCATGTAGGCAATTCGTTTGTGTCTCTCATTTACAATTTAGTTGTCAATTTTCCTGGTACCTGGTAGGTAATGATTTTAAAATAAATATTATGCAGATGTGTAGGAAATTATTTGAATTTTAAGCGAATTGTGTCATGTTACGACCATTGTGTACGAATTATTTCAGCAATATCCTTATTTGAGTCCACAGATTGGGCTAAATATAGTCCTTTATCGTCGTGATAAAGTTATTCACCCTAGTACCGGCCATCTTGGAGCGTAAACCGCCGCGTTCCCCCGCCGCACGCCAGTCGCTCGATGAGCGCCCGCCCGTGTGTACGGCCTATTCACGAAATAACAAGTTGCCAACAAAGAATTGCATCACCATGCAGTTCGAATACGATCCCGAAAGGCTTATAGAAGAAGTGAGGAAAAGACCTGGCATATGGAATTATGAAGATATGGAATATCGTGCTAAAACTATGAGGTACAAACTCTGGAACGAAGTCGTCACGGAACTTATGAATCCCGAGGCCAAGGTCTCTAAAAGTGAAATGAGAGAACTCGGTGAGTATTTTGTAACTTTACAATGCGTATGTATTTTTAATTTACAAATGGATATAAGTTTAACTGGTAAGTTATTATTAGGTAACAAAGTAACAGGTTATAGCAGCCTACCGGTGAAATATCTCGCACCAACATCACGGAATGCCGGGTGGACGTAAACACAGATTTGTTTTTGATGCATATTGCTGTGGCGCTACGATAGATGGCGTTAGGTGTCTAGACCGGCGTCGTCGACACTCTTTTTTTAACCGTTTTATGTTTCAAATGTGTTTTTGATGGCTCTCTCTAAAGTGATACGATTTAATGATATTTATGGACACTTCATCATAAATTTGCATACAGATTGCGGTTATTACGTTTTTTAAAATAAATAGGGTAACTATTTAAGTTATGGGAAATAACGAAATTTTTCAATTGAGCTTTAAATGTTGGTTTACCAAATAAGAATAAATCTCCAGATCACTCGTTAGGAAGAACAATTGAAATCGTAGTTTTAACTCCCTTGCAAGTCCTAAAAAGTACATATTTGTAATGTTTCTAATAAGATTATTTCCTTTTTTTTCAGAAATCCAACTACAAAAGAAATGGAAAAGCATTCGGGACTGCTTTCAAAAATACATTGCAAATCCTAATAGAACGAAGAAACCGTATATTTATTCCAGACAGTTACAATTTCTATTGAAAGATCAGGAGGAATTACCACGCAAAGAGGACGGAGGAGGAACAACTGAATCAGATGATGACAAACCAATTAAAAAGAAGAAAGTTTGGAGATCCAAAAGAAAGTTGAAATTAGTGAAAGAGGAGACTTCAGAAGAGGACAATGACAATAGTATTAATTACGAAGCTAATGATGATTCCAGAGATTATACTATGGAGACGTCTGAAACTGGACGATCAGCGAAGGTGCCAAAGACAAGCAAGCCACAGCCACAAGTCGACGAGTTTGTATTTGCAAGTGTTGATACACAAATAAAAAATGAATCGGATGATCCAGATAGAATGTTTTTACTGTCACTTTTGCCACATTTGAAGATGATACCAGAAGAATTTCGTTTGAACGTGAAAATGGATATGATGCACGTACTGCGAAACGCAAGTTATAACACCGCTAGAGAACACAAGTTGATTTAAATTAGTATCGTTTAGTTACTATAACTATTTAGTAGTCAAAATGACTGTTTAATTTATGAACAAATATAAGACTCGTTATGTTACATTCCTAATATTTAATAAAAATATGTGATAAAATATTGTTTGACTTACCTTAAATCTAAATATGTGAGTGATTGGAGACCTCCAACTGCATTTGGGACTGTTCTGATGATGTTTTGTGATAATAGTAACTTCTCTAAAAACACGTAGGACGTGAGTTCATCAGGTAATTCACTGAATCGATTTTTGGACAGATCTGAAACAAAGAGAATTATATTTAGCACTGAGAAGCTTGACAAGGAAAACGAATTGTTCTAATACAGCTCCATTTTACAAAATGTTACAAAATAAGCAGATTAAATTATGTTTCGATTTAAATAATATTTGGTGATTTTATTCGACGATAAAAGTACAAAGGGACAATTGATTTGTTATTTTAAAATAATCGCCTTACGAAACCATAGTAGGGCGATTCAAAACTTCAAAGAATGAAACTAAATATTTCCAGTTCGTCACAAACGAGGGGGTGAGCCCTTAATGGTTATAATATTTTCTTTTCTAAGTGAGTCGTGGTTTTACGGCTTAAGTAATGGCAGCCATGAAAGTTCACCGTAATAATGATTTAGTACGGTTACTAAAGTATTAATAAATAAAAAGTTATTGCTTGGGATATGTCGGTAAGTCACAAAAATAGATTGAAGCCGTAATTTCTGTAATGGTGCAAAGACGAAAGAGGTGATTTTGAAGATGGGTATTGTTAATAGATATTTTGGAGACTGTGGTGTCTAGATTAGATATCTGGACAAAATCAAAGTTTATACATGTTTATTGTTCTTGAATCGTATCTTTTTATTTAATTGTAACATGCGATACAAATAAATAAAAACAACAAACACTATCAATGTTAAATGATCTCCAAACGTGACCATACTACAACGGTTCTTGAACTCTCATTCATTATGATACGAACTTATGTATATTTGTTTGCCCATACTAATATGATATCAAACATATCGCATAAAACAGTATAAACAGTTTCTAGGCTAAGTAAACTAGTTAGGTTCGTTGACACAAAACTGCGCCGGAGTGCGGTTGATGGGTAACCGCAGGCAAGACAAGCAAGGATAAGAACTGATTATTATGTAATCAGAGAGCATGATACTCCTGTGTAACCTGCTCTATAATCTTTAAAGCAAGCCGTTGCCAAGAGTACAAATAATTATAATTTTATAGAAGAGAATGCAATATCTTGCTAACCGGTAGTCACACAATATACTTATATGATATAATAATGAACCATCGAAGAAGGTTTGTATAGTAATCACGTATTTTATTAAACACCTGGAAGGGGCAAGCAAAAGTGTACTTAGCGCAGGTTTTGTGATTAATCCCGAGTAATAGGGCCAAGGGGTAAATGGATTATATCCTACACCCATCCAAATCCATCGGCAATAGGACACATAACTAGTAATTTATCTCTTACTTCCTTTATTGATGTTAGTTATCATACTAGTGAAGAGGAAGCAAACGAACAAAGGAACGGTGTCAAGTTAGTTCCGAATGAAAAGAGTAATTATGTACGTTTTATAGCAGTCCAATGACGACTTAGGCGTGCAACGGATGCTTGATGCTTATAAGGAAGAAAACAAGATTATATAGTCAAGATTAAGTGAACAGATTCATAAAAACACGTATGGCCTTAACCCCACACGATTTTATTATTGCCCATTTAAAACCGGTTTCAGTCAAAAAACTGATCTTAATTCGTTAGCTCTAATAAAATATAATTGAAGACATAACGTTGCTATGCTACAGAATTGCCTTATAAATCGATTTTAGGGATCGATTAGGAAGCGTTAAAAGCTAATCGATTAGGCTAAGGATGTTGAGTATTGACACTACAATTGACCTCCAATTCATAGCTACAACTAATGTAATCTAATCTCAAGTCGTTATTGAGAACATACATATTGGATAGTTGAACTCAATTCATTTGATTTATTAACGGTCTAACTAGCTATTGTGGACAGATATATCGACAGATCAATAAATAAAAAACATCTGTTATTCCAGTCAAGTGGGTTCCATGAAAGTTTATCTACACATCTAGTGTGTAGAAATATGGTTTCTACTCTAAATAGCTGGTGTAACGTGGTGGTGGACGATGACATTTTCCTTGTAACATTTTTTGCTCGTGTTTAATCCCAAGTTTTTGCGAAAAGGGGACGCTTTGTGGTGGCGAGCTTTGGTGCTGCAAATGATAAATGCTCGTAATACCACAGTCATGTGGCATACTTGGCCTAAATGTGTAAGCGAAATGATGAAATGAGAACGTAGAATACAAAAAGATTAAGATGGTATCAATAGTAGACTCAAGTAGTTTGGTGATGACGGACAGACGAGAACTATCAAACCATTAAGTAAAGTTATCAATACATGTAAGAATGATTGTGAACGATATCATTGATTCAAGTTATCTATAAATACACCGCCACACTACGTATCTGAAGTTGAATCACATGCCGCCACAAAGTGTGTCAACATCAACGATCAATGGGCGAGACTGCACCAAAACTGGTTTCACCTTACACAGTTTCGTGAGAACTGTCCAATGCATTTCGTTAAACTTTTTCTTTACTATGATTTCAACCTTTTTCCTGTTCCTGCGTTGTATCATTATGTTGGTAAACGCGACTTGGAAATATAATAATTGGATGGTGAGCGAAGTATTTCATTCATAACTGTTTAAGCAGTTAGTACTTTACATTTTTTACTAAAACACAAGTTCAACATCGAAAAAGATATGATAAAACTCAATCAACATGAACTAGTTCTCAAATGAGAGTAGCAATATTGTGTCGTGCCAACTTCACTATCAGTAGGACACCAAAAACTTGCTACCAAAACATCGTAAATGCTATCGTGAATTCGTGATATAATGCTGGCGTCCTAATTTTTCGAATACTGATAATGCGTTCAAGTAATAAAGTTAATGGAAACACTCCAGAGAGTAGTTGTATCTACTTATTTAGGGGGAGGCTAGGAAGGTGCTCCATCAAATCTAATACGTCACAAAATTGATAAAGCATACCACAAATTGGACAGAGAACAAACTTGATGATGAACTTATAGTTATAAAACAAGTCATCAAATATAAATTGCGCTCAAATTCTACGAAGTCAAGTAAGTGTAAATAACAAAGGAACACAATTAAAAATGTAGAAACTTTTGCAGTTCCATTACTAAAACAATGAGAAAGCCACTCCAATTTTCAAAGACAGGCTCAGAAAGACGAAGTTCATCAAGGCTTGTTCCTATGTAAAGGCTGAGAATAAAGGTTTCTTTTCCTTGCTGACAGACAACGTGGGCGGTGACAAAAGGAGGTCTCCTAAACATTAATGACTAGAGCTACGCCTTTGAACAATGAATATGAGAACTACTCTTAGACATAATGAAAGTTTTACATCTTAAGACCTCCTTGCTACTCACAATTATGAGCAAGGTTTGGGAGCAATTAATATTATACGTTTTGATGAGGTTATGGAAATAGTTATGAGTTGAGTTAGAATTCAGGATGGGCATACTCATAAAGTTGTATTATTATTGTGGTTACAACATCCTAGGCCAAGAGATTAGACATTAGAATAGAGAATAACTGATGACATAAGAATTTAAAATAGTTCAATAACATATACAAGCGTCCAAAGACGTTGCGCTCATAAAACCGGGGCTTGTTTCTTGTTTGCAATTAATCAGTACAAGAGAATTAACAGAATTAATCTGAAACGCGTTACAATTCATCAACAGTGCGGACACATTCATAAATCTAACGCAATTGAGGCCAACGTGAGACTTAATAACTCCGAGGACAACACTCCGGGTCCTGGCGTTCGATGATTATATCCTAGAGTTTCCGGCCTCTGTCATAAATACAACGTGTTCGTTACAACACTTATGAGTCATGGAGCATAAAGCTGAGCAATGTCTAAACGATATGCCTCACTACTAAATGAAACACAAGTAGACCCAGACGATATTATGTAAACTTTCTGTTCTAGAGAACATAGATCCAATAATAGTCTATAATGAAGACTCAAAATAAACAAAGAAGCCTGCAATGACATAATATGTTACATAATTATTTTGCTAAGCGTTTGATGAGAATTAATAAGCGTAAAATATTACGCTGGCGAACCAATCGAGCGACATCAAAGGGTTACAGTCCTCGACGCAGTTTATAGAGAAAACAAAAATACATTCAAGAGCAGTGTATGCAGTTTCTGATGATGTAATCTTAGTGAGACCATCAGACGAGACAAGGCAACGATCGTTAATACAAACTGGAACACAAACATTAGTTACCGCAGATGAAAATTACACTCTATTGACGGATACTGACAAGATGTTTATGATCCACACTTTTCGAGAAACATCATGCATGTGCCTCATAGTGTAAGGGAATATAAATACGAGTAGGCGTAGTATAATTTTCTTATTTTTTCAACGGGCATTTGTACCTTTATTAGATTCATACCGAGAGTAACAACGTAGTTTCAGTTGGTAATAGAATTCAAAATAATACAAATACTACCTCGGGTCTTGTTTTTCCAAGCTTCGTATTGGAAATCTCGATTCTATCATAACAGTGAATATGAATTTCCTTTCTTGAATCCCTCAGTACCAATATGATACAAATATCTGGGGTACTGAAAATATACACACGAGGATAGAATATATTTTTATTCAAAAGGTGAGCTATTTCCATGATGAAGGGAGGGCTGACGGCTAAAGGCCATTAGATAATGTGCCACAAGCCCTCAACCCTGAACTTTTGATTGACAACGTAAATGACAGAGGTTGAAACAAAATAGCCTTAATAAAAATCTCCAGTGAAATTGAAACCCCAGACATGTCTGATGTCGTAATAGTTATTTATGAGAATTTGTTGTTTGCCAATAAAATACTCGATAGAAATGGTGTCGTCATTGCTTTCCAGGTAGACATTATCGCAGGCAAACATTGATCCCACGTTAACTGATACCTTTGATAATGTCGAAACCTTTTAGTGTGGCGATATACGTACACAGTTCATGCAAATGAAACTTTCTGTTAAATATGCAAAAAAGTAAATGTCGGTATGGTAAACAAACGGAAATTAATGTTCATTTCATTTTTATAATGGTGACTGCATCTGCTTGGCTCAGTTTCTCCTATCAACACACTCATACACGCATGAGTTAATACAGAAATATAACATTATTGTGTCGGAGATCAGAAATATACATTTTTTTTATTTACTTTCACTCTTTACATACGTCTCCGAATTTCGTCTTTGGATTCAAAACACGTGCGAAATTAGCAAGCGATGAATATTTAGCGTAAGATGTAACTTGTTGGCGTCGAATGTTTGGGAACGGGTTTGCTGTGCTAGTTTTTACGTTGGTAAGCGTCCTCGAAAAATAACCGTCATTACCACGTGGCATTGCTAATGAGCCTAGTTTTTACAGCACCTAACTTTTTCCTGCATGCCTTTAAAACAGCCGGATACTTAAATATAGTACGTGCACAATGTAGCGTTCATCATCGTCCTTACTATATCCTACATTTCCGTTCCCTTTTTGATCATATTTTTTCAAACTATCTTCCTGTGGCTGTGTATTTGTGTAGACAAATATCACAAACAAACTTGATGACAAATAATGACTTCTCGTCACGAATCTATTTCGGCCACAAACACAATAATCGTTGTTATTATATCGTGGCCTAGAAACAATTCTAACTTATTGAGCATTACCCACTGCCATTTAAACCCACTTACGTCTAGTAAGTCACTTTTTGTATGGCGAAATTTATTGCCTAGATTGAATATCTGGTGACGTGCCAAGTTGCCGATACATGCGCTGCGGACTGCGGGCCTCTACCAACCTTGACCGGCGACCGAGTCATATAAATCTCAACGGCTCACAAAGGTTTGGCTATCTCTATTGCAACAATACTAGTATGGTCAGTGTACTATGCGTCGCGCGTCGTTCAATGGAAGCAGAGAGAACGGCAATAATGTTATGTTTGTGCCTAAAAGTGTAGGCTCTATATTTGCATGTCACATATCATAGTGCTTTTTGGAGAGGTAATCACAGCTTGGGGTATCAATTAAAGCGATGATAATTCATACCCTGTTAACCACATAGGCGACTGTAATTTTGGGTCGGTCAGGTTTGAAGATAATGTTGAGCACGTAGAATCAGTGCGAGCCTCCTTGGCCTTGGCAGCAATTCATCAAGATTGTTGCCAGCATAATACGCACCTATCGTTACTGAGGTTACATTACATCATGCTATAAAGTCATCCGGCGTAACATTATTACACGGCGAAACGTGTAAAAATTGTAAAATCAAACTCATTAGGTATAGTGATTTTACTGGTACCAATAGTATTATGCTGCTTCTGATCAATTATCGTCAAGTAAGTTATTACGCTCTTTATATTGTTAAGGAACTTTGTGCAATTGTAGTTCTATAGTTGACTTGTAAACTTTTGCATTGTCTTCGGATACATTCTTTGTCACGACATAATATTATGAAGTTTGAATGTCTGTTCGTCAAGACTTACGTATCAGGTTAGTTCATCAATGGAAAGCTTGCTCGCAATAAATCGATGTGGCAATACGATAGCGATACCCGTTAACGTGCACAAGCGAGGTAGGTACTGTGCACTGACACCGGTGTAGATTGAATAACAAATCACTCGAACAATGCAAATGAGATGGCTAGACAACAACAAGAACGTAAATAAGTAAAACTGTTAATTAAATTAGACGTATTGACCCGTGGGAACTGTGATCACAAAAATGAGAAGCACCTGAGGAAACTGTTCAATAATCAGATACTACATTTGAAAAAAACGACACAGCAGCTGATACCAGATGTAATTATAACTCGAACTCAACGAGCTTCTTTAAAAGTGAACTTTGACATGCTATAATTAAAGTTTCAATTTTTAAAGAAATCCAGTTACGGAGTTGAACCCATCTGCGGAAGGCTCATCGTTCTTGGAACGTGGATCGGACGTTCCATCAGCCTACATAACAAAATGTTCGCGCATGCGTCATACTTATAAAAATGGAGTGTCGTACACTCGTACGCGCGAGTAGGTTTCGTTTTAATAACGGTATTACAACGAACACCTAAGGCGATGGTTCTTTTGCTACTCCTAGTACCCGTTTTTAACCTTAATAGTGGTTAATAACGATGAAGATGATATGAGCAGAATTAAATTGTAAAATATTACCAAATACACAGATTTAACTTAGTCGTTTAACTGTCTCCGAGTAAATAATTTCATTTTGATAGTTCGAGTAGCCTATCTTTACACGAGTTTTAATATTATTTGGACAGGTTTCACACATCTAACTTTATAAGCACACTCACCTAACTCAATAAGGTGGGGTCTACAATAGCCGTCTTTATCGCGTCTAGATCGGGTATTGAGTGTTAATTGGTCAAGCAGCCCTATATTCTACTTCGTAATTCGATTAAAATGCCATAAGGCCATAGCATGACGGTTACTTGAGAAACCTTTAAAGTGTAAATATATTGTAAGATACAACTTTAGGGACCGAAGGCAATTTCTGCACTAATTGGACGTACAATTTGGGAGTTTTGCAGCAGTGCAAGTTACACGTGCCGGCTGATCAATACGCTAGTCGGGACGGCGACCGGCTGTCGGCGGCATGGCGTGTCGCCCCTAAACACAGCTGATTCCACCTATCCCCTCATTCAGTTCGTTCACCCTTCGCCCCGCGCCTCCAGTACCCTCCCAAACTTTCCATTTCGTTCGAAACAAACGTCTACTTACACGACTACCTCCAATGTTTCTATTAATTGGCTGGCAATATTTTCATGCCATTGCTTTTTATATAAAAAATATAATCGCGATGGTTACGATATTTAGGTTAACTACCCGAAACATAACATTATTAACAATTATAAGGAAAAATGTATTCGCGTAAGACTGGGACTTCAAAGGATACAAACTTCAGATCGGATACTGAAATTCATGATGGGTACACCGTTCAACAACAAGAGCAGTATACAAAATACTTGAGGAAATTAAGAAATGAATTTGAAGAAAATTGGTGCAAAAAGAAAAAACAGAATTTTGATTTCTCGGAAATGGATCGTGTTAAAACTCTTGGTACTGGTGCTTTTGGAAGAGTAATTCTATTGAAGCATTCGAAAACTTATAAGCTGTATGCAATGAAAGTGTTAGAAAAAGAAAAGATAGTAAAGATGAAACAGGTTGAACATACGTTATATGAAAAACGCATCCTAGAAGCTATCAGGTTTCCTTTTACGGTCTACATGGAATTCAGTTTCAAGGATAACAGCTATTTGTATTTTATTATGCCATTCGTACCAGGCGGTGAAATGTTTACCCATCTTCGCCGATTGGGCAAGTTTGAAGAACCATTAGCGAAATTCTACGCTAGCCAAGTAATTTTGGCCTTGGAATATCTGCATTTCTGTAACCTAGTTTACCGCGACCTCAAACCTGAAAATATTTTAATCGATAAAAATGGTTTTTTGAAAATAACTGATTTTGGTTTTTGCAAATTACTTCAAGGAAGAACATGGACGTTATGTGGAACTCCTGAATATTTAGCTCCGGAATTAATTTTGAGCAAAGGTTATGGATTCTCTGTGGACTGGTGGTCGTTTGGTGTGCTATTATTCGAAATGAATGCTGGTTACCCTCCTTTTTACGCGAATGATCCGATGAAGACTTATGAAAAAATTGTTGCTGGTAAATATAGATGCCCGTCAGGTTTCAATAGTGAACTTAGGGATCTAATCAGAAACATTCTACAAGTTGACATAACCCACCGTTATGGCGTGATGAAAAATGGAGTGATGGACTATAAAAATCATAAGTGGTTTAAGGGTCTCGAGTGGGAATCGATTCTTAATTGTAGAACGCAACCTCCATATGTGCCAAAATATCGTGGCCCAGGAGATACCACTAACTTTGAACGATACGAAGACGAGCCTATAAAAATTTCTCCACAATGTCTGTACGAGACGGAGTTTCTGGATTTTTAGAATTTTTAATAAATTTGTCTTTTTGGTATTCATAATTAATAATATATTACATAATTATATTTTATTTTCCAAAAATTAGAGTTTGTTGTTATTGTCATTCAGTTTGTGCCATTATAATAAGTATAATCTCGAAAACGATTTGAAAAAGCACATCCTGACCCATAATCTTGTATCATCGTGTTTGTTCGTTTTGTTTAGAGATGATTTGAATTCATAATGGGGCACGTGTGGGGCCCCTTCGTGACATGCGCCCGCGCAACGATGAAGGACTATAATAACAGCAGGCAGAGGGCACGCGACGAAACTGTATTACATTTGAAGTTCGTGATCAAGTGTCATGTGGGGCCATTTATTGAATGCACTGATTGTGTCAATTCTCAGGAAAATAGGATTCCATTTTAGCTACATTCAATGTAAAGACTCGGATAGAATTAGCTACATTACACATCATGTTTAATTTTGATTGACTCTGCAGGACAAATAAAAATAGGACTTGATTTCAGCAGATGTACGATATAAAGTCAAACATATGTCCGGCATATTCCTGTAAGACTCAACTAAATAGAGCTAGTATATCTATGTGACCCGAATTTGCCACAGTTCTCTGCCAAGATTAGCATGCGGATGAGTAATGATCTTTGATGGGAACATGTTTTGGCAAAACGATCTTGAAAGAGTGGAATGAACTGAAATATTTTATTGTATTAGGTAATAAAATAACACGGAGAAGTATCTTTAGATTTTTTGTAATATTACGTTGACTTATTTATTTATTTAGGCGAGTAAACCCACGTGTAAGCAACACATTCAGTTTTTTTGGAATGTTAATCTAGTGCTGATTAAAAACATTTGTAAAACAACTTCATTAAGGAATTTAATTTAATTCACATACTTACAAGTTTTACGACGACCTACACACCTCACTACGTTCTATGAACAACGGGACTTTGACGAGTTGAACGGAATGTAAAGGGCCGGTAAGAACATTGATTTACAGCTGTCTGGGACGCATTGGAATCTCCAATTACTAATTGATTACACTGAGAAATGGCAATACATACTTCTGAAGAGAATTTAGGACCAAACTTATCTAGAGAAATATTTTAGTCTAGAATTCAATTTTAATCAGCTCTTACATAGAGCTTAGAGACTTACAAGGTACAGTTTTAACCGTTAATAACCAGAACAAAATCCAAGCATAAAATCCGTGAAATTGTAACAATCGTTAATCAAGTTACACAATTGATTTAACAAATCAGACACCAAGTTTTTCTACAGGTAATTTTCTGGTACGTCACCCATGGCAGGGACAATGGCTTGAAACAATGGCCTTTCCCAGTCGTGTGATGGTTGTAAGGGACCAGTGCAACCGAGCGGAAAGTGAAGGAAGCGCAGTTCCGTCTCACGATGAGGATGCGTGTGACGTCAGGAAATAGCCAAGGTCTACGACTCAAAGGGTTGTTGGTTCTTAAGGTGGGTAACTTATTAGCATACGGTTGAACAGTTGAAAGTCCTTCTTACTTAAAGTGTGATGATGGTTATATTCTCTAATTGGTATAGGTATGTGAAGAATTTATGGAGACAAAACTCTTTTTGCCAGTTAGTAATAAGATTAAGGTAGACGGAACAACTTTTGCCCACTAATCAATTACAATTACGATCAAACCGAGGAATTACTTGAAGTAAGCAAATAATTTTATTATAGTTGACTTAGTTATTTTTGCTTACGTTTGTTTATGAAACTGTACACGCGCACCTGTTATACTTAGAGACTAGCTTAATTTAATTTAGACATAACATTTTTAGTTTTATAAGCAATATTATTGTATTTTAAATATTTCAGTACATTTTTAACCTGAAACACAGGCTTGGACCTAGTTCAGGTTTCACATATTTTTAGACTTTGTTTAGATATTAAGATTTATTTTGTAATCTGGCTTTTTACACCAAATAAACATTTTATTATTATTTATTTATTATTATTATTATTACAATTTCAAATTATTTTCCGATCGAACCTAGATCTGTTTAATAGTTACACTTGAATCTCAACACCAAGGAGGTACACAATCTACTTCCTTATAAGTAAAAGTAATTGCCTCTTATGGATCTACAATAACTTTGGAACTGAAATAATTTAAAGGAGAATGCCATTCATGTCAAACGTTGCAGTCTGAATTTTGTAGACAAAGCACCGTAAGTTCAGGCTAGCAAAACGTTCTATAATAAACAATGCTGTTTCTTGCGTAAACTTTACCGCATTGAAGCTCAAGTCTCACGATACAATTGAGTTATTCATCTCTGCCATTTTAACGTAAATTATTCGCATTTCAACTTCACATAGAGTAGGTAGAAAATATCATCAGATCAAAAGCATTCGAATATGAAACATAGTGTGGACGGATGAGAATGTTTGAATACCAACCGAATTTCTGTTACGGCATTCTATTTTAAATTCAGAAACAAAATGTCCACAATTAATTTAACTCAAGTTTTACTATTTGACAAATAACCGCGGTTCGAGAACACGATAATGGATTAATCCAGAAAAGAAATTCTACTCCGAATGAGTTCAAAGTAAAAATAGTCACATTATACAAGGAAAACCGAATTAAGTACCGCGTAACGGATTATAACCAAATCAAATTCCGAGGGCCCAAATTACACTAATCATAAGTGAATTAAGATTCAAGTACCATAGTTCATGGTGGCCTAAAATAAGGCATTAATGTGTCGTTAGCAAAATTAAAAGTCGTAAACCTTTGCACAAGGAGAAGATATTACACAAGTAGTCGTCGTGAACGTAAAATACAATTACATAACCACGCCATATAGCTTTCAAAGCTATGCAAGTGCATAGACAACAGAATCAAGTACTGAATGCATGCTTTGAACCGAACGCGTTTGAGCATTAAATAGCCTGTTTTGGTTGTGACAGCATAATTTGTGTTTACACAATATTTTGCATAAGCAATGGTGCTAAGGTGGAATTATTAAGAATGTAGAAAGGTTTTCTATCACATACACGCTGCAGGTGAACGAACTATAAATGATATTGAAGTCCCAAACGTTCTTGAAGAGGTTATCTACTTTAGCAAGCCAAGACCCTCTTTTATGCTCTAACAAAGTCCATTCATCCTTTTCAATCCACGGCCCTTCAATTCACGCTCCTTAAAAGTCTGCTTTTTAATTACTAACACATGTGTGTGATAAAAGAGCTCATCAAGTGGCAATGGATATCGAAATTGTTGATTGATCACTTGAGAATCAAGAGCTCCAAATCATTAACGAATTAGAGACACAGTTCCATTCTTAGTGCAGTGCTGAACAGGCAGTAATGAAATAGATACCAATTGAATTGGGTTAGAGTAGTGATACATCTAGTTAGTAGTACTAGATAATGAAGTAGTTTGTCCGTTGAATTTGTACACAATGTTTGCTATTTACAGTATACTGACAAACGACGATACATCGCGTGCGGAACAGTTAAATATTACAAGTCAGACTCATAAAACTAATTGAACTCGTAGAGTGGAAAACAAACGTTGAATAATAAAACATAATACCAAATTACTTTCATTTCAAAAACATAGAATTTGTTTAGATAAAATAAGTACGTACACGAACATTGTTTAACAGTTTCGACAAAGGGTCTTCTGATCAAGAAATTCCCAAACTTTGAGAACGTCAAACCAAAGTCAGCAAATATAACAGACAAAGAACATAATTTATCTATTGTGCTTTCTAAAGAAAACATACTAAATATTAACATAAAATATGCATATGAAAACAACCCTGTAGGGAGCAAAGTCGTCGAGCCTACGATGTGGGTCAGTGACGATGCAGCATTCGATGCGGTGAAACGTAAAGGGCGAGATGAGAGGGCCGAGGGTGACTAGAATTATCATTCACACACTATTGGAAATATTGAGATTGCTCCCAAAAGTAATATCTGAAAATATCGAGCCAAAGCCGCTTATCGGTGAAGGTGGAAAAGGATTAAAGTAAGAGGGTGAAGAAATATCGTCAAGTTTTGACACTGGTCGTATATGGATACGGCTTCAAAACTTAAGTGTAGGAATATGAAAACAGATAGTTTGTCCTGATTTTATTTTCCCAGCTGGAATTGGGCTGCAAGCCAGTATTTTACGCCATAACATACAAATTGAAACAACGGCTATTGAGTCTATTTTCCAGATTAAGCTACGCGTAGCGAGTAGTATTTAGTGGAACTCGTTGAATGAGATAGAAGCGGTTGATAGTTGAATCGAAGCTATCGCAACTGACTTTAATGTGCTTGCCAAATCGTGCGCCCAGACGCTAAACGTTTAACTATACGAATAGAACCAAATTATAACTATGAAATAGAGTGAAGTAATGGATTTTAGTGTTGTGTGTGTGTGCGATCGAGGGGTGGATTAAGAGGGACATTGTATTGGGGTATGTGGAAATCCTTACTCGTTTGGTTAAAATATCGATTGAGCTCCTTGGGGACCCTTGCTTATGAGATTTACCACGAAAGAGAAATAAGACTAAAATAGTTCCAATACTAATTATTTTCGTATCAATAGTGTTGGACTTGAAGTGAATTCGCCAGCTAGCAACAACAAAATATTTGTCACAAACAATATCTTAAGCTGCCCACAAATAAACTTCTCATAACTAATCGTTTTACCATCTTATAGTATTAAACACGGATTCTAAAGTTCGCTGAAACTAGTTTTTAAAGGGATAGTGGGCGATAAGGTTAACTTTCACTAAGTCTTATATGGCTTTGCATTATAGGCAATATTTCCACGTTTCGTATAATTTATTGTTTATTGATGTAGGAAGACATTTCATTTGAACTTTGTTCATTTACTTATCAATCAACAAGAATGTAAGTACAATGACACTACAAAATCTATTTCGGGTGCTTTACCCTCAAAATTAGTGTTTCTAATGATACAAAAGCCAGGCGTAATTGAAGTTTATTAGTCTAGTCTAGAAGACCGACAATT